CAGTCTGCTTCCCACCACCTGTGGGGCCCACCTGTCTCCCTGGAGCTGAGCCGCCTGGGACTGGTGCAGAAGCCTGGCCAGTCTCGGGCAGCGTGGGGGGCTTGGCTGGGCCCCTCCAGGCAAGTGGGTCCTTAGGGAGCCCGGTCAGGGCAGTTGCGCCACGTCTGAGGAGCCGGAGCGATTCCCAACACTGGGACCAGCCCTGGCTGCGCTGCCAGCTCAGCCCGGCAGACACAGTCGCCTCCCAGCAGGGCCGGTGAGTGCGTCCGGGAGGCAGGGCTTGGGGGAGTGGGTCTCTGGGGAATCTGGGGGTGTCTGAAGATCTGTGTGTGTTGGAGCACTAGGGAGTGGGGGTTCTGTGTAGGGTGCTGGGCAGTTGTGGTGGGGCTGTGCTGGTAGGAGTGGTGTGCAGGGTGCTGTGCATTTGTGATGTGGATCGTGGGGGGGGGGTGCTGGGCGTAGTGAGTCCAGGGGGGCTCTTGGCATAGGGGGAGTCAGTGGGGGTATTTGTGTTTGGGGGGGGGGGGCTGTGTGGCACGGCATGGGCCTGCTCCCGAGAGGAAGGGACATGCTGGAAGCACAGGGCCGGGCGGGCCACTGTGCATCTGACAACTGCCGGTTTGTAAATAGTGCTCTTGCCCTGGGTTGGGTGGAGCAGGGCCGCCCCTGCCATGCCCCATTGCCCCTGGCTGGCCCCTCGCTCTGGGGACTGACCTCCCTGTGCCATGCTCCATTGCCTCCATGGGAGCCCATAAATACGTTTGGAGCCTGACCCACACAAGGTTAATCCGGCCCTGCAGGTGGCCAGAGTGATAAGGAAGTGGGATCGTGGCCAAGGCTGCATTATGGTCAGTCCCTGGCTATCAGAGAGGCTCCCTGGGCCCTTCCCAGCCCCATCACACACTCCTCGGCTTGGCTTCAGGCTTGAACTTCCTGCCTGTGGCCTGGCCTACACTACAGAGTTAGGTCGACGTAAGGCAGTTTATGTCGCCCTAACTGTGTACACGTCTACACTACCAGGTCCCTCCTGCCAACGTAATTCGCCCA